GCGTATCTTCATAAAATGATGATAATCACAGTCCTTAGCTATTGATATCCTGGCTCCATAGAGCGCAGCCTTTGGGGAAAAAATCAATTCCTCTCACGAATGATGTTGAGGAGCCGGCATGGCTTCCTGTGACGCTGAGACATCAGCTGAGCACGGGCCCACCTTCCGGCGGCGGGGGTGGGTGGGTGGTGTATGTGTGTGTATGTGGGGGGAGTGGAGTAGGGGGTGGGAATGAGCAAGCCCAGCTGGTGCAGTTTCCCTGGTGATGGGAGCCTAGCAATCCTTGTACGAAGCAAATCCCCAGCATGTTCCATGCAGAAAAGCAATGAACCCGGTCAGGCGTTTCAGTTGTTATCTCCTCCGGAGGTCGGAGAGAAAACAAGCAGCCACCGTGCTGTGGTGTAGTGGGCAACAACTCTAACTGCTCCGGGGGCAGACGGAAGGCTTGGAGGTTCAGAGGCAGGGGCCGGAAGGAGATGGGGGTGGGTGACATCCATGGGAGGTTCTGTACTGAGTTCTCAGGGGGCTGACCTGTATCTCTGCGGGGCAGGGAACCTGAGCTGAGCCAGTGGGCCCGCTGGGACTGCTCCGGGACCCAGCCTGGCTTCCTGTCAAGCCACCTCCAAGGGCTCTCTCCTCTGGTGACTTACTGAGTGACCGTCAGCTCACGCAGTCAGGACATTTTTTAAGCCTCTGTGACCCATCATAGTGCCTGTCTGAGCCAGCATGAGGACTGCCTCAGCCAGGGGACAGAGCCCCTTTTGCCGTGGGTGACTTGGTCTTTGGTCCTGATTCTGCTCTAGGACAACATCTCAGAGCGATGAGTGAGGGCCCACCCAGCCACGAGGGATCCCCTGGGCACTCCGTGCTGACCAAGCCTCAGGAGGCCTGTGGTCAGGACAATAGAAACCTGGACAGGTGGGGACTCCGTGGAACTGTCCAAGCTAGCAAGGGAGAACATTTGGCTCAAGGGAGTGAATGTTCCTTGGGGAGATGGAAGCTCTTTGCTGAAGCTCACCCCACCCCAACATCAGCATGGAGTGAGGAGAGGTGGAAAGGTCATCCGAAGGCACTGATACCAGAACAGCCAGAATCCTGGCTCCCCTAGAGGACGGGGGTGGCAGGAGAGGTCTGGGAGCAGAGGGCTGAGCACCAGACCCAGGCAGCTGCAGGGAGCCCCATCGGAAGGGACACAGGGCTGGTCTGTGGCACGAGGGGGCCTAGCCACCAAGCCTGGTTCATCTCATGCTCCCAGGGACTCTGGGACCCTGACGTCCTGACGCTGCTGGTGGACAGTGGGACAGCATCAGCCAGGGGAGCAGAGCCCGCCAGCCCGGTGACATGACTTCTGACCATCCATCTCTCACCACGCAGCAGCTATGGAAGAGCGAGCTTGGGTTTCTGCCTACTGTTTGCCGGCTGCGTTCCTGGGGCTAATTAACGGCGGGTGTGTGTGAGTTCTGCACAGACGGACGTGAGGACAGGTGAACGAGCTGCGTGCGGGATGAACGCGGCCTCGTCGTGTTTGCCCACCTGTGGGGAGGGTATCGCAGACACAGGCAGCCTGCGCTGCGGCAAGATGACCGCATGAAGGTTCAGCCTCGGTCAGGGACGCAGGGAGGGCAGGCCCTGCCTCTCTCTACTCCAGGTTCCTGCCCTGTGCCCTCCACGCTACCTTCCTACGCCCACCTGCCTCTACTCACCGAGCCCGGGCCCCTTCCGCGGCTGCGTTCAGCCCTGCTGTCTCCGCCTGGGTGCCGGTTGAGAAGCCCTGGAGCTGAGGGTTGAACATCTTCAGGATGTCTGATGGAGGGAAGAAGCAGAGTGCCCAGGTAAGGGGCAGCAGAGGTTCCCCTGGGCAGTAAGGTAGACGTGCAGTGTTGGGACACGGGCATGGGCATGGGGATTCTAGCTGCCCGGGGCTGCTGACGGCCCTCCTTACAGGCCACCTTCTTGTCCCTCCCTGCAGGGGAAGGCCTGGCCACCCTCAGGGGTTCTGATGGCGACGGTGATGGTTCCCGCCAACGCTGCTACTTACTGGGGAGGGTGGTGTGGGTCTCCAGCCTCCCATCTCCGCCAATGCTGAGGACGAGAAGGCACACGTCTTCAAACCACACCCACTAGCTGCAGCCCTGACTTCTTATCCCCACCACCCTCGAGGACTAACAGGAGCGTATTCCTGCGCCTCCCGGCTCTGACCCAATTCCCTCTCTGGAGAGGGACACACCGTCCTGCCTGCGTGAGGGGTATCACCAATAGAAGAGGCACCACCTCACCTCCACGAGAGTCCCCTCCAGGACATTAACAGGTCACTGGAGTTGCTTGGCCGGGCTCCCACTGCTGTCTGTGAAGGCAAAGAGGAGGTTGTGGGCGGCAGGGCAGGCTGAGGACGATGGGGGAAGGTCCCGCTCGCCCTGCTGCAGACCTGGACCTGCCCTTTGCACTGACCTCTCGTCGGGCCGCAGGATCCTTAACTCTGAGTGGCCTTGACACATTCTTCTCCTCCATCCCCTACACTACAACCCACAGTCAAGCCCTACGGAGCCTTCCTGCTGACACCCACCCCTCTCTTTTGACAATGGGCCACGTGCCCAGCATCTCCCTCCCCTCCCCCCATGGATGGCCTGGTGCCTGACCTCCTGCCTCAGTGCCCTTCTCACGAACAGGGCTACTGGCCGACTCTTCTGCACCCACTCCTTTCTTCAGGCCTCCCTGCTCCTCTGACCCGCAGTGGGTCTCAGTTGCTGCTCAGGGGCAGAGAAGCCCCTTGCCGACTCCTGGGAGCATGCGAACCTGGCTTCCCTCTCCTTCCTCCTCAGCTGTTCGTGCAAACCCTCAGCCCCAAGGAGGGGGCTGGCGCACCACTTGTGAAGCGCTGAAGGCCCGGGCTTGGCCTGTCACCCACTCCATCCCGCAATCTTTCTGCAAGGCTGAACTTGGCTTTTCCAGTCCCTGAAATCTCTGACCCATTCTCAGACCCTGTCAGTTCTATTTCCTCTCTACAACTTTTTTTAAAAGAGAATTTCTTTAGACACTTACAAAGGCAACATGGTCACCCTAATCAATGAAGCTACACGATTAAAAAAAAATGCATAATCCATCCCCCTTAAAAATCCTGTCCCTGCCTCCCACCTGCAATGGTTCAGTCTCCCCTCCTCACTCTCCCATGCGCATACATCTATCCACACTCCACCATAGCTTATCAGGGGTCACAGCCTGCGTGTACCCTGCCACGGGGCACACAAACACACACTGTAAAGTCCCGTGGGTCTGCAATCTTTCTGGGCACATTCTGTGGTTGGTTTTCCAGCAGAACATGTCTCTTGTACCATTACGGGGCCCCACACCTCTTCCCCTTCAGAATGGCTTGCGTTGTTTCTTGTACCCAGGAATAGATGTATAACTGGCTAGTTTCATGCAGTTAGTGAGATTGTGTTATATCCCAGGAACTTGGGCCACCTCTATCAGAAAGAAGGCATCCTGAAATGGGGGCGGGAGGCCTTTGGTAGGGTGGGTGGAGAGGAGTTCCCAGATCAAGGCAGGATCAAGACCAGGATAGGAGCTACAATACATACACACACACACACACACACACACAGACACACACACACACAGAGTGCCTGGGAACAGTGGTTACAGAGAAGTTGTCCTCTCTGGGGATTGAGGAGGCTGTGTGGAAGAGGGGTGGTGTCTGAGCTGGCTGTGGAAAGATGGGGTGACTTGGCCTCCATGGCTGCCTTTCCGTGTCTGGCACCAGTAAGCCTTCCACAGAGGTGGACTAACTGCTGAAGGTGAGGACCGATGCTCTCAAAGAGCAGATTCTTCAAGGGGCCCGATGGTCTGAGCGCCCCGCCCCCCACCTTTGGCTTGTGGCTCAGTACTCACCGTCAGCGCGTCACCCAGGGCAGCCACCACTTGGATGTCTGCAGGCTGGAGCTGATGAACTAGAGGAGACAGGCAAGAAGATTGGGTGGTCGGGGATCTGCCTCTCCAGATGCAAGCTCCAGGGGAGTCCAGGATGT